ACCCTCAGCCTTTCCTCATAAGACCTTCCCTCCATACCAGGCAACATCCTGGTAAATCTCCTCTGCACCCTTTCCAATGCTTCCACATCCTTCCTATAATGCGGTGACCAGAACTGTACGCAATACTCCAAGTGCGGCCGCACCAGAGTTTTGTACAGCTGCAACATGACCTCATGGCTCCGAAACTCACTGACCCAGATGCGAGGATATTCCCTACCTCCACGACTGTTCAACAGCAAGAGGCATTTCAGACTGCCAGCAAAGTGAGCACCGAGGCTCGGCTGGGAGCCTACGACAATAAATCCTCCTGAGGTAGCAATGTTCCTGTTGTAGGGAGAGACACTGGGGCTCCATGATTGACCAGCGTGTGGTCATTTCTTCTCCAACACCACCATCTAGTGGCGACGGGTGGGGTTACTGCTACAGAAGACATGTCTGAGGGTGAGTAGGGGGTAAGGAGGAAAGGAGACGTTTATGAGTTTGTGTCCCACTCCAGAGGCTTGAAGCTATAATCTAGGCCAACAAGTCTTCAATGACACTCCCTCAGTGCTCTGTGGGGAGGGTCACTCAACCCGAAACGTTCACTCTGCTTTCTCTCTCCACGGATGCTGCCAGACCTGCTGAGTTCTTTGAGCAATTTGTCGTTGCTACTGAGGGAGCGTTGCACTGGCCACCAATTAGTTTGAGAACAGGGTCAACATTTTCCCTGAAGTAGCACAGCTTAGAAACGTGGTCCATTGCATCTGCTGCTCCCGAAGTGGCCTCCTCTACATCGGTGAGACAAGGCGGAGGCTCGGAGACCGCTTTGTGGAACACCCACGCTCGGTTCGCGACAAACGACAACACCTCCCAGTCACGAACCGTTTTAACTCCCCCTCCCACTCCCTGGGTGACATGTCCATCCTGGGCCTCCTCCAGTGCCACAACAATGCCACCCGAAGGCTGGAGGAGCAGCACCTCATATTCCGCCTTGGGAGCCTACAACCCAATGGTCTCAATGCGGACTTTACCAGTTTCAAAATCTCCTCACCCCTGGCCTCATCCCAAGACCAGCACCCCCTCTCATCCCTGCCTCCTTGACCTGTCCGTCTTCTCTCCCACCTATCCGCTCCTCCCACCTCACTGACCAATCCCCACCACTGCCGACCTACAAACACCTTTACTAGCTTCATCCCCGTCTCCTTGATCTGTCTGTCTTCTCTCCCACCCTATCCACTCCACTATCTCCCTGCTATCATCGCACCCCCCTCTCTATTTATTTCAGAGCCCCCTTCCCCTCCCCCACTTCTGAAGAAGGGCCCCGACCCAAAACGTCAGCTTTCCTGCTCCTCTGATGCTGCCTGGCCTGCTATGTTCCTCCAGCTCCACACTGTGTTACCTCAGACCCACATCAGAAGTGACAGCTCCCTGCGATTTTTCCAGAAGAGAGTCGGTACTTATAGGAGTAAGAGTTTATCCACAGCGGAGTCCCCGGGGAGTGAGAGAGAGTAGCCCGAGTATTCTCTGAGAAGGGGCACGTTTCAGTGAAATTCGCTATCCTACAGAACAAAGAGGCAGTACTCAAAACGAAAATACATTTTTCTTTTATTCATTTAATATCAAAAAAAAACAAAATTGCTTAACAGCTAGAAAAAGTGAGAAGGCTGGCAGATCTCAGGCTGGGGTTTACTGTTTGGGACGCTAGGAGTCTGGGACTGGACATGATTTACCCACTCCCAGCAGCGAATGCCCGGCGGAGGGAAATACAGCACCCCGTGGTGACAAGCTGGGGCGATTCCCTCCACAGTCAAATAGCAGCTCCCCTGAACCGCCATCTCCCAATGCCCCCCTCCCACCCCCACTGGAATGAAACAGCAGGTTGTAGTGTTCGCTGAGGAGCTCCCAGTGCCCAACATTCCTCATCGAATGTGTGCCCCAGCCTGAAAAATAAGCTGCTAAAGGTAAAAACTGACAGAAATGTAATAGCGATGGGAGAATGGAGGGGGAGGCGGCAGTGTTCACACAAAGTCAGCAGGGGACTCCTTTCCCTGCGAAAGACTCTCAGCACAAACACAACGGGGCTCCGAGAGTCCCATCTCATCGAGAGCTAACACCGTCACCAACAGTTTAAGAGCTGAGCGGCAGGGAGAAAAGAGGACGATTCAGCATTGTTACCGTAGGATCACTGAGCCTCGCCCCGCTGGGTTTGGGTGGGTTGGGGTGCGTGTTGGGGGTGTAGGAGGAAGGGCTGATAACAGAAACAGGGCACAGAGAGAGAGAGGGGAGAGGGACACAGGGTGGGGGTGGACACAGAGAGGGAGAGAGCTGGCAGGGGGGCGTGGGGGGAGGTAGATGGGCGGGGAAGAGAGAGAGAGAGAAAATACAGCCTGGCAGTTTCTTTCTCATACAACTGGAAGATATCAAACATCCCGGGTCCCCGGGCTGCGTGTGATGTGGAATCAATCAGAGTCTCTCTCATCCTTTACCAGCAGCTTCTTTCCTTTCTTAATCTCAGGTCCCTCCTTGTCCTGAGCTGTCTTCAGCCGACTGCAAACAGACCAAGAGTCCTGTTAGATGTTGCTAAATTCCACATGCAGACTCTTACTGCACTGCACGGATTCTAATCTCACCACTCACCTTCACAGCTCACAACAGTGCCCACTCCCTCAGCACTGACCCTCCGACAGTGCCCACTCCCTCAGCACTGACCCTCCGACAGTGCCCACTCCCTCAGCACTGACACTCCGACAG